GCCACACAAGCCACCAAAAAGGGAGAGCGGCGCGCAGCGTGGTGCAAAAGAATAGCCACCAACGCCCACCCAGACACGTGTGTAATACATACATATCCGACCACGACGCATGCCATAACGCACAAATCGCCAGTTTCACCCAACACGACGACCCAGGCCATTGGGACATCGGCAAATGGAAAACGCACACTGCATGCGACAACACGCCGAACCGAGCAGAGCGCGTCAAGTCAGTCGTGCGATCAGATAGGCCACCAACACCCACACACAGATACGCATGTGATGTGGTGCATTCCACCACGGCACACGACAGGCCGCCAAAAATAGAAGGAAAAATGTTAGGTCGCGAAGTTCTTGAGACCGTCGGTGTGCTTCCGTGCCCACTCGAGAGCGTGGTCAGCATCGATGGTGACGGAGTTGCTTTGGGGTGAGAAGAAGCGTTCCTTGATCGAATATTGGAACGAGGCGCGGAAGACCTCCTTGACGGGTGGCCATGCCATGTGTGGGAGCTCGTCGAAGATGTTCTGGGTGCGGATGGGTAATGGCTCGGTCCGCTCGTCGCAGTCGAACCAGTAGGACCGCCAGTGCTGCATGAGGGGCACGAACTTGAAGACGGGCGACTCGGGACCGTGCTTCTTGACGGCGTCGAGGAAGGTGTCGATCTTAACGCCATAGTACTTGATGCCCAGCTCGTCCGCCCACGCCTTACTCTGGGCCCTGCAGACACATCAGCATGTCGATTCGCTTCAGTCACGCTCCTGTGTGTGATGTCTTTCTTGTCTTACTGTGTGACAACGGTTGTGTTAATGAGGTGGTACAGCCAGTGCTTCCGCCGCTCGAGGAACGACAACTCGACCTAAAGGATGACACACAAATGAGGATTCATGGTTGGATCAGTGAAGCCCTCACTCGTTCGTTGACCTACCAGCATCTCGGCAATGGTGTCCACCGGTGTGAAAGGCGCCGCAGACGCGCCGACGGGGAACATGCCCTCCTCGATGGAGCTGATAGTCAGCGCCGTGGCGTAGTCGCCCTTGTTGGTGTACCCTGTCCGCCAGGCGACGAACGTGTTGGGGAG